GATTTAGGACTCTAGGATTCTTCTTCTTTCTCTCTGTCTTTCCTGGCCACAAAGCAAGCAGTTCTGTCTTTCACACATGCCTGCTGAGGTGTGCTGCCCTGCTGCTAGCCCAAAGCAAGGTAGTCAATCAGTCATGAACTTGATGCCATAAAACTATTAGCCAAAGTAAACCTTTTTGCTTTATAAGTTAATAATGACAGATGACTTGTTACAGCAATGGAAAGCTGATTCACAAACCTTCAAAGCTTTAGAAATACTTTTAATAATGGTTTTGTTGGCAGGACTGTGTAACAGTTGAATCTGAGCATAGCATAGTGAGGTGCTACTTCGTAGATATGAGATGTGATTGAAAAACATGGTGAAGGTTTAAATTTTTAAAAATTCATTACAGTAAAGAATTACACTGGCACTAATGTCCTGAGAGAATTCATAATGTTGACCTTTTACGATCATTTTAAATTTGGCAGAGAATGAGAAGTCACATGGTGCCAGACCTGGTGGGTAAGGAGGATGAGGACACAGTGTAGTATTATTGAAAGCCTGCCTTTCCACTACATGGCACTTAACAGCAGCATTCACTGGATTTTTGATCACACCTTATAAAGACACTCATAAAAGAAGACTTCCAGAACTGCTTAAGAAAGTGGCAAGAGGGGCTGGGGATACAGCTCAGTGGCAAGTGCCTGCCTGGCAAGCGCAAGGTCTTGAGTTTGATTCTTGGTACAAAGAAAAAAAAAGTGGCAAGAATGATGGGAAATGTGCATTTGAAGTGAGGGGGAGTATTTTTGAGGAGATTAATTGCAGCATGTCTTTCACTATAATACATTTTTAAACATTGAAGCACACTGTATATTTTGATTACATCTTGTACATGGGATTTATAGGAAAGTAATGTGAATTTTCCAATCTTCACTTTCCTCATCTGTAAAAGGGAAGTGTTTTACAGATGGAGAGCTATGCAGGGAGCTCGTGACAATGGAGAAAAGCATATTCTCTGAGGTCAGCTACTCAGAGTTGAATCCTGATTCTGTCACTAGGTACTGTTATGATTGTGGGCAAGCGCACTGACCTTTCTGAGCCTTGGTTCGCATGTACAGAATAGTACTAACTATAGTACCCATCCAAAAGGGTTGTTAGGAGAATCTAATAAGTTAACAGATATAAAATGTTCAAAGCAGTACCTGGCATTCAGTGTGTCTGCTGGTGTTATTATCTTACAGTGTCACTATGAGGCTCTCAAGCACTCATTTATAGTACTGGGAATTGCACAAAGTAAATGCTCCAGAAACTCATAGATAGCCATTCTTTTTATGACTGGCATCCCTTCCTCTGTCTTCAGATCACAGAACTACCCTCTGCTGTGGGGAACCCAGTCTGCAGACAAGCAGAATGAACACATGACCCAAACTTGTTCGGTCAGAGGATACTGTGAGCCTGAGATCACACTATATAATCAGTGGCCACCCTCAGTTCTTTCCTCCCAGACAGCTGACAGAGTCACTGTCCACTGGGGTTGCAAAATTATAAGTTGTGAGTGTTCTTCTGTGGCTGGCCACCATGGCCTCTGTCCCAAGATGGGGTGAGATGAAGTCCTAATGACATCACCGAGCCCTCTCTTCTGGTTATTCCTGAAATTGTAATTACCACTGGACTTCTAACTTGCATGAACTAATACTGTTCCTCTTTGAGTTAAATTTCAGCAGCATGCCTGGCAAGTAAATTTTAGTGTTATGACCTAGCCTAGATTATCAATAAATATTGTTTCCCTTTCCTGTCTCTACTCTAACCATGTCTGTGTATGCCACCAGTCCTTTCCACAAGTATTGTTTGGATAAACAGTGACTATTCAGCAGTTTTTGTGTATAAGTCTAATAAAAAAAGAAAAGTAACGTCCAGAATGACTGTTTATCCCACACGACTCCCTACAGAGCCATCAGTTCACACAGCCCCATTGAGCTTTTCCTGGGATACGGCTCACTGTGTCTATTGAGATGTAGTGCTCTTTGAAAACAGAGCCAGTGGCATATGTATACACACTCATGATTGCACAGTTATTGATTTCTAATTTGTACCCTGCTTACTTTCAAAAAGGCCCTGGAGTGGCTGACAAAATAAGACAAAGACATAATAGGGCCATTAAGAAAAATCAAAGATCAAGCCCAAAGAGAAAAAGCAATTGCTGATTATAGCTCAAACCTGGGTTAATATAGTTGCTTCAATAAAAAAAAATTATATTTAGCTTGCAGCTTTCTGGCAGCCATTCGGAATGTGCCATGATAGGGCATGTGGAGAACTGGGCATCCTTCTTGTTGACAGCTCTGTACCCACACAGAAGTGAAGCTAGAGCAAGTCCCCAGGGGAAAACCTACTGGATGAATGAATGAATGGATGAATCGGTGAGTGAATGTACAAATGAATGAATAAGTGAATGAATGCTGGATAGAAGAATCAAGTCTTTCTGAGAGCAATGTTTATATTGCTGAGAGCAATATTTATTTTCATATATTCATGCTCATCCAACTATCATTGGCTGAATATCTATGAGTGCCAGTCTCTGCACCATACCAGGGATTCAAAAGGGACAGTTACAAAGATGAGTTGAATATCATTCCTGCTTTCCCAGCTGCACATCTCTGTTTTGCAGCTAAAGCTCTGTGTAATCTGTCTCAATGCTTCTTGCTACTCCTAGTCTTTGCACGGGTCCCACAGAAAGGAGACCAGGAACTGAGCTCACAAAGATGGGAGATTATATGAACAGCAACTGTTGTCTTTGCCCTTCCACTTACACAGTGCTTTAAGCCTAGAAAACACACAGTCGCGTCAGTATCTCATTCAATACTTGCAGCTCTTTTGCAAGGTAAGGAGAGAAGAGGAGAGAGAATCTCTCTGTACTGATGAGGACATCTGGGCACAGAAGCTCTCTGTTAGAAAGTGGAAATCAGAACATAACCCATGGGTTTACATGCGCCTGTGTCTGGCCTCCAGCATCTCAGACACCTGTTAATACTACCTGAACTTCCTCCTCTTCCTGAAACAGAATCAGCCCTGTACAAACTAGGCATCACCTTATGGTCATACAGAGGATTCTATGGGCAAGAATGAGCCCATTGGATAACCAGCAGCAGTTAGAATACTTAGAGCCCCTCCCACTCAATGCCATCCAACATCTCTAGTCTTAAGGTACCTTCCTTTTGCTTACAAATGGATGCTGAAATTCCAGATGAATAGCATACAGTCTTCACCACTTACTTAGTTAAGCTCAGGTTGGAAAGTCACAATACAGTGCTGGGTGGAGAGATGGATATTTAGTGAGCCTTTAAGGGAAGAGCTGTGTCACTGGTCCTTTGTGTCTGTGAATTCCACAATGATAGATTCAATGAACCACAAACTAGACATATTCAAAAAGAAATGCATCTTTACTGAACATGTGCAGACATTTTTTTCTTGCCAAACAATATAGAATGTAACTATTTACTTAGCATTTGTGCTGTATCAGGTATCATAAATAATATTGAGATGATTTAAAGTATACAGCAGGATGTATGTATGATCTGTGAAAACTCTATGCCATTTTATATAAGAGATTTGAGTATCTGTGGATTTTGTTATCTGTGGGGGTCGTGGAAACAATAACCTGTGGATACCTAAGGAAAAGTATACAGGAAATAGGAAGTTAAGACCAGGATAGTTTCTGGTACATCCATTTGGTACTGCATTTCTAGCTTTGCTAGACACTTGGGCTGCTAAACTGCACTTCCTTGCTCATCCAGGTGGATGCAGACTGGGGGCGTATCCTTTCAGATTTTTAACAAAATCAGCTAGGTGGACCAAACAAAAAGGGCATACATGACAAGGAGAGCCCTTGACAAAATACAAGAGGCAAGCAAGACCAGTGGTCCACTAGAACACTAGCCAGCCCTGATCTGTTCTTGTTCTATCAAAATGCTCCTTAAAAATACATTGATGAACACAGTGTGTGTGTGTGTGTGTGTGTGTGCGCGCGCGTGCGTTCCTAAGGCAAAGCTCATTCTTTAGTATACACATTGGCATGTGTTTCACATTTTCCTGTCTTTTGCAGAACCTGTATGCATGGTTTGACTGCACAAGTAGCTATTAAACACAGCCATTGCGAAGGAGAATGGTTCACAACATGAACACCTTCCCAATAACGTTAGAGTTTTCCCAGCCAGACTAACAAACTCACCACCGGACTTCTAAGTAGTTAGACACTGTGTCACTCCATTCAGAAAGTCAGGTCTCAGACCACGTAGTTTATCCCATAATCTACAGTAGTCACTGCCAGAAGGACTTCAGATTCAAGATCACGGAGCTATTCATGTTCAATAATTAGCACTTTCCAAAATCACCCACAAGACATAAATCTGGGTCTCAACAACAACCTGCATTGCTAGCCTTCAACCTTCTCTGAGTGAATAAAAGCACAGAGGTATCTCCAGATCTTTCCTCTTCATATCCTGGACCATTCTGGAAGATAGACCAAAATTCCAGGTGCTTCTTCCTTTTCCCATCAAATTATAGACCTGAAGACCCAGCATGGTCGGTCTGGCAATGATGGGAAGCAAACAATGGACACGAATATGATGTTAGCCAGCAAGACACTGAGGTTGAAAGGCTTAATTCAAACCATACTCTCTAAGACCACTGGAAGTCTCGTGCAAATAAACTCACCCCAAAATACCCCTCAGGGAATTTCCCTGATGCAAGTTCAGATTCAAATTAAACGGAGGAGTTTCCTCCTTGAAAGAACATCCACTCCACATGTTAACAGTCTTCACTGGCCACTTACTGCCACCAATCTCTGCATAAAGGAGCAAGAAGTCAGGCCTGCAGATTTACAGAGGATACGCCATTTCCATGACCTGCTCCAAGTTTCCATGCTGGGGCCTGCCAGGCTCCACACAGCATGGGGCACCACACTAAGGGAACCATGTTCTTGTCACTAAGGCGCAAGGTAGAGAATACAAGTCAACTTTACTCACAGTCTGGTAAGCTTCGGTGTGCTCTGGAAAAGCATTTCTGGAAGGACCTGGAGCTTATTTTTGTTCAGACGCCTATGGAGAAAAAGAAGAATGGAAAGATGTCACTGAATCCAGTGTATTTATAGACACTACCTCAATCATTCCATCCATCCATCCATCAATAGGTATTAAGAGACTTGATATTTCAATGTTCAACATGTGTAAAGCATATATCATTTTGACAGAGCTTGTAGGCAAGCTAGAGATGTAAAGTTAAGATCAGTCACAAGCACAAACACAGCATGTGCTGTGTTCCCCCTCCTGCGGTAGGAGTCTACTACAGGCATCACACATGGATTACCACTGATCACAGAATTCTTTCCTATGGAACTCAGACAGACAAACAGAGAAGAGGCCAAGGCTGATGACCATGGGCTAAGAGACCAGTGAGTCTGTCTTGCTGGCTCACTGGGCCACATGAGGGCTGTGTTAGTATCTCCATGGGTCTTTGGTCTTTCAGCCTTTGTGGGCTGCTTTGCCATAAGAAACTTATAGACTATGTTTTACAACTGTGTTGGTATAAAACCAAATACATTTATATTACATGATACTTATTTCAACCTAAAAGTTTATTTTCTTTTCTAACTTTCAAAGAAAAATTATTACAGGCCCCTACAATATTGTGGGCTATTATGTTTTGGATTTGGAATGTTCCCCCAAAACCTCATGTGTTCAGAGGTTGGACTTTGGAAAGGTAATTGGATCATGGGGGCACTATATTTACCAGTGTATTCATCCACTAATAAGTTCAGCAGCTGACTGTACTGTTAGGAGGTAGGGCCTAGTTAGAAGTAGATCACTAAAGACATGACCTAGAATAGTGTATCTTTCTTCCCAGTGCCTCCCCTTTCTCTTTACTTCTGGACCACAGTTATGTGTCCACCTTTCCTCTGTGGCAAACCTTTCCACCCTGCTATTTCTGCATCTGATCCTGCCAACCATGGACTGAAGCTTTGGAAACTGTGAGCCAAAATGAGCATCTCCTCCTTTAAGGTGTGGTGTGAGATATTTTGTCCCAGCAGTGAGGAAAGTAACTAGGACATGGCTCTTCAGCATGATCGCCTTTGTGCCTGATGAAGAAATCCATCCTGCATCAGGAACCAAAGTCTAGGCATAGGGTATGGTTTGATATAAAACTCAGCTCAGTAGGAATGGCTTTTGTTGGATGATGGTCAACAGAACAAGCCAAGGCTCTCCTGAATATGATCAATGCTGAATGTCCACAAAGAAGGCCATCTGAGTTTCTGAGGGACACTGAGCCATTGTGATCCCTATGAAGGCTGCTTTCTTGCAGGAGTCAGGGAGAGAGAAAGATCCTGTTCCTTTCTAGCTCCATGTCATTCTGCCCTAGCACCTACTCACAACCTAATCAGTGAAAGCAATTCTCCTCTTTCACATGAACCCCCAAACCATCGTTTAAGCATATACTTCACAAACCCTAGAATCCTCTAGCACCAAATTTCATATATGTGCTGCTGAAGTGAGTGCTCCTCTAGTGCAAAACAGCAGTTTATAGCTTAGGTGAATTTTTCCTGAAGCCCATACTCTTCCCCCATGCCCTGCATTCACTCTCAGTAGACGTCATTTCCTACATGTTGTTCTTCTTTCAACTCTTTTGTACCTTCTCTTAATGGACAGAAACTTCAGCATGGTAAGGAGACTAAAGGAGATCAAAAAGGGCTAAACCCGGGAGAGAGGAACATTTAAAACACTGTCTAATTAACACTCTTTCAAAAAGGTATGACATGAGCTGATGGAGCTCATACAATGCACGGATGGTTGTGATCAGGAATGCTGTCTGGGAGGTTTCTGATTAGCAGGAGGCAAGGGATAAAGGTTCAAGGGTTTGGTGAGACAATCTTTAATTCCTCACTCAGCTCTAAGAAGGAACTCACTCCTGGATTACTGCTCTTTTATGATTTTAGAATTAAAAAATTATAATAAAATTATGTAACATAAGATTTATCATCTCCATAATTTGCAACTCTATAGTTCAATAATGCGGAACAGATTTATCTTATTGTACAACTATCTCCAGGACTGTTCCCTCTTCAAAACTATAATTCCATACTCCTTGAACTATGATTCCCTACTTCCTCCCCTCGTAGCCTGTGGCAACTACCATTCTGCTTCTTTCTCCATAAATTTGCTTTCTGCTCTTTTGACCATTATTGGTTGTTATAGTTTAGATGTCCTAGATGTCACCTCAAAGCCTCAGGTAGTCATGGGTGGGCTTTTAGAGTTTATGACCGATCCATGATCCAATGCTGGGGTTATGCGTGTGAGTGCTACACCCACTCTGGGGCAGGTAGTTTTGTATATGTAAGGGAGAGAAAGAATCTGCTTGCGACATTCCTCCCTTTTGCTCTTGTTGCTTTTGCTATCTTCTACCACCATGAACTGTTGCCCTCTGTGCTGTGCCACTCTACCTTAGAGCCACCCAAGTATGGACTGAAACCTCCACAAACTGTAAGCTAAATAATCCTTTCCTTCCTTAATATTGGGCGTCAGGTATTTTGTCTCAGCAATGAGAGAAAAGAAATGAAGACATTGGTGTCCTCTGTTCATTTGCTAATGTCACAGAAAGGGAAATCAGGGAGCAAGAGGTGGAATCCAGCTCCTGGTTTAGAGCAGCCTTCATGTGGTCAATGCTAAGTCACATTATAACAGGTAGAAACCACTGGTCCTGGAAAAAGCATGGTGTTTTGGGGTTAGCCAGGGTTGAATTCAGGTCTAGCTGTATCATGCTCTTACTATATAACCTTGAACAACTTACCTAATCTTTTGAGTCTCAGTTTTATAACTGCAAAATAATCCTACTTCTTTAGCTTACAGTATGTTTTAGTGAATGTACAAGTGTTTACCACTACAGTAAGAGCCTGGAAATAATAAAAAGAATAATGATGACCGAGTCCTACCTAGATGTCAAACATTGTGCTATATGCTGTCCCAGCAGGACCTATACTGCAGTGGAGCCTGCAGCTGGTATTGCTATGATTCTTGTCTCTTACATAAGAAGTTCAAAGCCCAAGGAGATCAAGTACAATCCTGAGGCTATAGTGGTAGCAGCCAGTAGCTTCAGGATTCAGACATGGTCAGCCTGGCTGCAAAGCTCTGGTTCTGAACCACTATGGAACTCAAAATTTTCAGTAAATGACAGCCCCCCGTCTCTTTACATTTCCACATTTCTCTGCTTCTTTTCATCCTGGAATGCCCGCTCCTCCAGCATAACCCAGACAATGACCCATCTATGTATACTGCCCTCCCTGAAGAGGACTCTCTTGGAGGTCCCAAGAAAACCATTTCTCTATATGGGTCTGTCTGGAACCACCCTCTATTGTTGCAGCTGTATAAAGCCTGGTAAGAGTTACATTCTGGGACACAATGCTCCAGTCTAGGCAAAAGTTCTAAAATCGGGCCCACCACTGTCTGCAGTAGATAGGGTGGTTCGTGTGTTAAAAGCCCTAAACCAAAGTTAAAGCTAAAAATAAAACAAACTTGGCTCTGAGGCTCCCGGAAGGGAAGGAATCATTTTCATTTCTTTGCCAGTATTTGTGGCTGGACAAAAATAAAAAATGCCATCAAATTTAGCCAGTTGTGTACTGCCGGCTCTGTTTCAAATCCTGAATGAGGATTTGAGGTGGCCAGGGTGGGCTCCATTTTAAAAGCCTCGGGGTCTTTCCACTTCTGCTTGGGCGGGTCACATGCTGGTTCTCCACATCAGGAGTTTGATACTGTAATTCCAGATCATTCCAGCATTTATTCTTGTTGACTTAGTGAACAGAGAGGGCCTGGAAAGTGTTCCCTGAAAAGTTGATGAGGGCTCTAAGGTTCAGAAGGTACATGTTCCATGTGACTGCTATAAACACAGCCTGGAAACAGGAAAATGAGTGGAATACAGTGTGCTACTCTCCTGTGAGAAGAACAGGTAAGTGCTAGGCTGCAGGCAGTGACTAGTGGCCATAGGGCACTTGTGCCACCTGCTATATTATGCTGGGTCCATAGGTAGAAATCTCTAGCCACAGTTCAAGCTGGTGAGCAGGACTGAATCAGACCAGTACAATGACAGAATTCAAGAGGCCATCAAGCAGGACACCACAAGATAAAGCCTACCCAGGGGTCCCTCTCCCTTTAAGATCAAAAGTACTTCTTAGCTTTATACTACTACAGTGGAGAACATCAAGGTCAAAACCTCACTGACTGCTGAGTTGCAAAGTCATATTTGCTTTTCAGCTTAAACTGTGAAGCTCTAGAAAACACACCCTTATTTTTGTGGAACTTCTTGATATGCATGGCTATGTAAGACATAATTGGAAGGTTTTGTTACTTTGTTGAATTCATCCATTTAGCCTACCATTCTACCATCCATCCAGCTATCCACTTATCTATCCATTCAACTATCTATCGCTTTAACTATTCATTTATCCATTCATCTAGTTATCCATCTATCCATCCTTCCATCTATCCACCCATCCATCTATCCATCTCTACACTCATTTATTCATCTCTCTAACCACCATCTATCCATCCATCCTTCCATCTTTCTTTCCACTCCTACTTAAATAAGGAGGGCTGGGGATATGGCTCAGTGGCACAGTGCCTGCCTAGCAAGCACAAGGTCCTAAGTTCAATTCCCTGTACCAAAAAAAAAAAAAAAAAAAGGACATACAAAGGTGGATAAGAGGCATCCCTTTCCTTTAAGCATGTCATATGCTAGTAGAGGATGTAGATGTGAAAATAAAAACTGTACCATGATCTTGTAAACAAAGGTGTTGTGGGATTATGGAGGAGAGGCAGCTACCCTGTTCCAAAGAGAGGTTAGTTTTGGAGGATGAGTGTGATTCTTTGAGAGACGTGGACAGTGAGCTCTTGACTTATAGTATATGCACTCCCAGGGACCGCCAGGTGGCAGGGGAGTGGACTATACCACTGGAGCATGGAGGTAACTTGAGAGAAGAAGTGATAAAGTTGGATGAGGAGACAGAGGCTGTATCATGAGGGGCCTTGTGGATCACAAGAGAGGATTTAGGCTT